GAGCTCTTTCCAATTTCGTAAAGGGTTGGATATGGTACTTCCCCACACACAGCACATGCACGCACACATAGACTCATCAAGCGGCTTCATATATGTACCCTCTGGGCCTAGCTTGGTTGGACACAATCACTAATGCATCACAGGACGCCACAAAAAGGAAAAGACTCGTATGATATCATGACAAACATAAATATCGAAGATACACGTCCGTACTAAGATAACATAATGGAGAAGTATCCTGATGCACTGACATACATAATGCATGAAGCTCCCATGGTTTAAAATCATAGCATAAGATCAAAATAATTTCCTTGTTCCTTTCATCCATGACATAGATACTTGGTGATCATCATGACTTTCATCTTATATCATCACATAATCCATCACGTAGCAAAACGTATCATGACATATATAGTGTTTCATTTCATTCATATCCTGACATAACGGATATCACATAAAATACATAACATAGCATCATACGTCATTACATAGTACACATAAACATAACATAATATTATGGCGCATGCATGCAGGGGCCACAGGGCATGCGTTGTCATACCTCATTCAATTTTTCAAACTCCAACGATAAGATTACTTACCTAATTAGTTTAAAGTAGTGTCAAAAGGAGTTTATTATTTAATAAAGGTGGTTTTGGTCTAAAAAAATGTTTCAACCCGATCCAATCCAATCCACGAACATCACACGTTTGGTACCATTTCAAAAGTGGATGGGTTAAACTTATAATAAAACATAAAATAATTGATTGAAATATGCACAGAAATAAATAGGGAGATGCATATAAATAATTAAATAAATACACAGCCCAAACACCCCGTTATGGGAGGGATGTAGGGTTTTCATGGGAGGAGTTGCAATAGGCAGTTGAGGAAGCGGCATTAGAATTTTGGTCGGTGATTGGTAGATTGGGGGATATTGTCAGAAATGCCCATTCCTGGAGGACACGTGGACGGCTGTGATTAGAATTGGCCTTCATTGTCCCTTGTGCTAGGGGAGATGAACTGGAATGTAATACTATTAAGACAACACCAATCAGCTCTGCCTCCTACCCCCCAACTTAGCAATTCCATTCAAATATTCAATTTATATTTTAATATATTCATAATAAAATCATTTGCCCATCTTCACTATATGTAAAATATTCAATTAAATAAGCAATAATTTTCAAGGTTTATTTTATCATTTCATTTCTATAAATTATTAAATAACGCGCACATTAAAAATAATGTAAGAAGAAATATTGGTTAAAGATTTTGAACAAACCCGAACAAGGTTATAAATTTTTTGAAAATTTATGATGGGTTGCTGTGAATGTTTGATTAATCCACCACACCTAAATGGTGTGAAAGTTATCTTATTTATAATCAAATGAATTACAAGGATATGAAAATAGTAATAAATGGAAATAACAATAAATGGAAAGATACCTATGATAATAAAGCAAATATTAGATATTTGCCTTATAATAAAATATCAAATATAATATATATGGTAAACTATAATTTATTATCCTGGACAGTTTCAATCAACTTTTTGAACTTATTTGAATTGGATCAAAATATGATTTTGGGCTTATTTGAATTGGATCAGCATATTATATGATCCAATTTGACCGTCTAAATTATTTGATCAATCCGTAACTTATAAAAATACTCTGTAATCGAACACTTGTAGGCTCTCATTTCATCTTCAATCTAGTAAGTTACTACGAATTTTTTTTTTAGATTTTAATAAGTTCAAGTTTATTCCATTAATTACCCTGATTGTTGCCACATATGATAGTGATACTTATCATGAGCTAAAAATGAGGTTTATTTTACACTCGGTAGTAGTTTTTCGTGTTATATACTTATGTAGTCTATCGTCGCCCTCTTAAAGTAGGTTTATTCTATACACTAGTAGTTTCTTATGTTATTTACTCATATAGTTTCTCATCACCTTTCAAGGTAGGTTATATTCTACACAGTGTTATAGTTTCTCATGTTATCTACTTGTGTAGTTCTTCGTCTTCTCTCAAGGTGGGTTTATTCTATACACAATAGTGGTTCCTCATGTTATCTAATTATGTAGTCCCTCGTCCATTCTCGAGGTGAGTTTATTCGACATACATTAGTGATTCCTTATATTGATTTTGTTCACACTATTAGTGGTCTTGTAAATTCTCATAAATTTTCTTGAGTCGTGGAAGATTACTAGATTCTTAAGGCATCTAGATGGTTTAATCTCTAATAATGATCACAGTGTTCCAAATGTTCCAACTAGACTTATTACATGATCCAAGGTTAAGAAGATTCAACCAGCATTCATTTTTCATCTACAAAATTGATAAGCTCTGTTCAACCATTATTTTATGTGTTACAAGCTGATTCAATTGAGAAAGAACCATTTGGAGTTTCAGAAATGAATATTTGCACGTTTAAATAGCTGATGAAATTACTATAAATTGCACTTCGTTCCTAATTTGTTAGTTCATTCTTTCTTAGAAAAACTTTATTTACTATTTTAATTTCATAATTTTTTTATAGTGGACAAAAAGAGTGGGAAATTATGTCAAATGGCCTAACTTTTTTTTTTAGTGGGCAATAAAATTTAGCTTTCAAATGGACATTTTCACCTCTAGAAATTTGAGCTTTTGTCCTTTCTAAGTTTCATGTCATTCTTGTGATAGATTGCATCTGAATCATTCAATCAAGTTTTGATCAAGTTCGATTGTAGAGTGATTCAATTTAGAACAAGGTTTCAAATCTTGTTCTAGATCTTTGATCTTAAGAGGTAATCTAATTGTAATCTTATTTATTAGTTGATCCGAATTTTGTATAAGGAGGTTCAATTTCTTTAATTCAAGGGTTCTTGCTTTAAAAGCTTCGATCAATGGCTAAGGATTAGAGTTATCTTATCAATCTCATTTGGCATTTCTAAGATGCTTGAGGGTAGTGTCTTAAGGTTAATCCAATCTCTAGGTGCACTCAGGTCTAGACTTATTATCATCGCTCGTGGTTCTAGGGAGCTCACTCTACTAGAAACAGACCGATCTAAGTCAATGTGAAAATCATCCTAACTTTGGCACCCAAATTCTTAACTTAGTTTACATGATATTCCTATTAATCACCTAAAGCATGAGGAACATAGTCAACTGATTTATGTATATTTATTAGGGAAACATTCCTATCAATCACCTCAAGCACGAAAATCTAATTTAAGCATTCAAGATAACTTAATAACATGCTTCAATCCCTTAGAGCATTCTAATATAGTGGAAGACATTAAAATAGGCATGCGACTTAAATTCATATCCTAGGTCATTTCGGTAAATTTTCATAACATACAAAATATCCTCATCTAATTTTCTCTTTTGGAGTCCTATCATGCATACTCTTACCTAAGGCAAGATATGCTCACCTGCTAGTACATTCTAGCGATCTCTACAAGTATTACTTGAAAAATGTCCATGGGTCGTAAACAACATACTTGCTAGTTCTAGATGACTTGAGTTGGGTGTAGACAGTCTAGGTTGTGGGTTGGTGGTTTGGATCGGGCTCGGGGTTCTTGGGTCGTGCCGTTTTTGGCATGCATTCGAGCCTAGTTATTGCAGATCTAATTCCAATTCTTCGTTTGGCAACACGTGTCTGTGCTAGTCAATGCCTGACACACTCACCCCACCGTGCTTGATGTGTCTGTCCCTCCCTTCGCTTGCACATCGGAATTTTTAAGATTTCGATTGGTTTCTCGTTTTCTTTCTAATTTCTTTAAATTTTCGTAACTTTTCATACAAAACTTGAATCGACATAATTCCTTTACCAACAGGTATATAGTTTTATCCATCTTTACCGAGATATTTTTCTTTAAAGTAGGCTTAAAATACATAACATTTCTTGACGAACATGAGAACTCTTTCTAGTCCAACACAACTCCTTCCTAAGATCATGGTATTAAAATCTAAAAACCTAATTCTTTCTAAATCTCATGGAAAAATTGAAAATGAAAAATTCAAAACATGCCTTGTAAGGGCCCAAAATAAATAAATAAATAAATAAATAAACAAATAAAAATTATTATAAACAAAAATTATTATTATGTAAAAAATAATAATAATAATAATAATAATAAATAAGTATATAAAAAGCAATCATTCCCTCATTTCTCCCTACTAATGTAGTCACTTCCCCAATAATCTCTCCTAAACACACCTCACAATTCGTACAAAATGAAACAGAAATGAAAAATGTCAGATTTGTTGGATGATGAAAGTCCCACATCGGTTAATTTAGGGAATGGTTATGAGTTTATAATCTAAGAATACACTCTTCATTGGTGTGAGGCCTTTTGGGAAGCCCAAAGCAAAGCCATGAGAGCTTATGCTCAAAGTGGACAATATCATACCATTGTGGAGAGTCGTGTTCGTCTAACATGGTATCAGAGCCATGCCCTAAACTTAGCCGTGCCAATAGATTGGCTAACAAGATTCAGACATCAACAAAAGGTTCAGATTAAGTTTTGCTAGTAAGAGAGATATGTTCTCATGAAGTATAACACATGGGTCAACCTAAATTGATGTCATGGGTTGACTTGGATTTCAATGGACTTTCATTAAGGATAACAACGGAACATCAGCTTAAACTAACCAGGTAAGTGACCTTACTATCACCATGGTTATATTTGATGTTTACACGTGCTCGACCTTACTATCACCATGGTTATATTTGATGTTTACACGTGCTCCGTGGTTCTGCACGTGTCATATATATTGATATGTGTGAATTGTCTGTGGATCGATATGCTTCTTATTTGTTATGTATATGTTATAATATATGAATTTTTTATAATAATTACGGTACGATGTGTTCAATGATATGTTTGAGATAAGATACGAGAAGGATGCATAAGACGAAATGTAACGATAGAAGTCAAATACGTTCATGAAACATTAAGGTTAGGTTACATACCGGAGTGATATGGATAAGAGAGATTGATGGAAGAATACGATTAGGCTTCGGGTAGAAAGGGATAGGTTTGTGATAGATTGATAGAACGATAGCGTTAGGTTACATTCTTGTGATGATATGACTAAGGTACATTCACGTAATGATATGTCTGTGATAGGTATAAGAACTTTAATGCTAAAATAAGTTAGAAAACGATATGACTTGTTTATGATATGATACATTGTGATGCATTATGTCATGGTATGATGTGTATATGATGAAATGTTATGTTACAAGCATAAAACGTTATGTTAGGTCTCTTATATTTGAATGTAAATAGCATGAATTGTATGACATGAAACACGATAAACTGTCTGGAATCATAACCCCGATATGAATATGTATGAAATGTAAATTGAAAATGAGAATGACATGAAGCATGAAACGTGACAGGGGGTTATGTTCATTAATGTAGAAGTAGGGGGACCTCATGCATTATGTGTGTTCATGCATCTGGGGGATACCCCTATCCCATCACGAGGGTACGGACGCGTACATCCAATGGCAGGACAACGATCGTTATGCTTGCATAGTGCTGCCGTGACGTACTAGTTTTAACGAGTCCCGACATAAGGAGCTCCCAGAGTATGCCCACCGGATAAGGAAAGTGGCCCAGCGGTGTGCGAACTAGCTGGTGAGCCCATACTCGCACGTATGGGCTGTGTGTAGAGTATATGGTACATGTCCACGATTACCCGTTAGGACAGCTCTGTAGGGAAAACAAAACGAAATGAAACGAAAGATAGGTCCCATCATTTCATTGCATGTGATTGTTGCATTTAACCCCAATAGTGTGGTCACTTACTAAGTATTTGTTTAAATACTCAAGCCATGTGCTACTACATTTTTCAGGTTAAGGTAAGACATTCCTGTACGGCTGACGACGACATCGCAACTCGAGACCATGACATATGCATAGGATAGTGGTATTTGTTTTCTTAGACTTAGGCTAGACTAGGTTGTTTCTAACTTAAACTCTTATTCATTTTATTTAGTCTTTTGTGGTGTCGTTTAAAGATGTTTTCGAAACACGCAAGTCTATGACTGTGTTTTAAGATAAAGGTTATGTTTTATGAAATTTTAATGGAGTCTTCCGCATTCAATGTTTATGGTACGTATATGGTAACGACCTTAAATTAAGTAGAAAATTTTGGGTCGTTGCATGCCTCCTTATTTGTTTAGTTTTTCAATGGTTTTGGATGATTGAAGTGTCCAGACTTGATCTCTGAAATGCTTTAAGAATGTTTGGTTAGAATCAGACTCTAGGTGGTTGTAAGTTGAGTCAATCTCGTATTCTTTTTTCTCTCTATATGCTTTCCCTCTCTCCCTTTTTTTTTTTTTTTTATTTCATTCTCTCCCTTTTTTTCTTCTTGATTAAGTCTTTTATTTCATTAATGGCAGGTTCAGAATAAGTTAGGGGCAAAATGACCAAAATACCCCTTAAGGTTGACTTTGACCCGTTGCCCACTTATTAGAGGGACATTTTTGACAAAAAAATCTAAAAAACTCAACCTCAAATTCACAACTATTAAGGAGGTTTTAATGTTGGTTTAAGGTTTCTCTATAAAGTGTGAAGTAGGGCTTTCATTTGGAGCAAGAATTGAGGTACGTTGAGCCTTCCATCGCGAGTTATAGCCTTTGATATTTTGGTTTTCTACTCTCAAAATTCTTTCAAATTCGAGATTCATAGTTCACAATTTTCCTTCAAACTTGTTTCTAAACCTTCTAGATAAGATTACCTACGAGTTTGGTGAAATAATCGAGTGTTGAAGGTGTCTCAAACAAAATTTTCCAATTTGGACCGTCACTAATGGAAGGAGGTTGAAGCTTGAAAATCTAAATTGACCCGATGCACAAATTCGTTAAGAGAATCCTATCTCATTTAGTTTTTGCACCTCTAAGGAACATTTTCATAAAAAACTATGAAGGTTAACTAGTCTAGAAACGTGTACAATTGAAGAAAAATGTTTTCGGGCAAGGTTTGGGGGTAAAGATTCCATTTTTTCCCAAAATTGAGCATATCTTTATCTTTAGAAGATTAAACTGAACATCTTTGATGAAGAAATCGGGGGACTAATACGTCTTAGATCAAGTTGTCTGAAGAAACCAAATTCTGCGTTTTTTAGTAAGTTGCAGACCGAGGATCAAATTTCAAAATTAAGACCGAAAACAAATCCTTTTGCTTGAGGAGAAGAACTTTCATGAAGAAATCAGGCTCTGAAAAGCTCTAAAATCAACCGTCCAACAAAAAGCTTTTGAGTTTGAATTTTAGGGAAGATAAGTTTTTGAACGAAGAATGTATAACTAAGGCTATGATCCATGAGAAGATATTAAATGGATCCCTAGATCTTCCCTATAACACCATCTTTAAGTTATATGAAGAAGTCGGGGGACAAATGTTGGATCGGTATGACAGCCATAGAGGAGTGAATAGGTTTTTAACAATAAAATTATTTAAATGTGATTAATTTTTCTAATTATGATTTTTTTTAATAAGCTAATATAATTAATACCATAGAATAGTTCAACAACTAACCATGAACAATTATAAAAGAAATAAATTTTAATAACAATAGGAAAAAGTTAGAAATACTCCACCCCGTCAAGCGCATCTTCGAAATTTGAATAAAGGACTCTTTCTTCGGATCAGAGTTCAACTGCTACACGACTTTTTTACGAATACAAGAGCAAACTCAATTTTTTTCGTGGTTCAGGATCAAATCGGTACAATTGTCTGAATTTTTATATGAACACACCACAACTCTCTAAAAGAATAGATTTAGAATTTAATCACTGACAAATGTTTCCTCACATACTCCAATAAACATCTCCGATACAATAAACATATCTATGAAGAATAAGATGAAGCATAAATAAAATTGAAAACAAAAATATGGGAATATATGAAATTTAGGTGGTTAAATAAAAAATGATGCAAAATAATGAATGCCCTATAATGACACAAAATCCCCACTCTTTTAGTATTAAGATTTGAAGTTGTATGAATCGAATTGGGACCAGACTAAATTAGGGAATAAATAAGGCTTAAAAATCCAATAAAAGAAATTAAACAAAATGATAAAAATATATAATAGAAAGAAACAGGAGAGGAGGGAGAGAGATGAGATCTGCTCTAGGTGTTTCTTGAATTCCCAGAAAATTTGATTAAAGGTCAGTTGAGCGCGTTATCCACGAATGTATACTTTTTTGTCTGTTTCAATTGTTATTTTGAAGCTTTAATCGCAAAGAAGAAATTGAAACAAGGAACAAACGAATGATGGAATCGGTGAGATTCATTTGGTATTTAACTATTGTGTGTGAGAAAGAGGTGTGCTTCTTCTTCTTATTATGTGCAGGTAGCGAGTGCGAGAGATTTGGGGAGAGTGAGCGTGGGTCTTAGAGCGAGCGAGCGAGCGAGCGAGCGAGCGAGGAAGAACAGGAGGAGAGTGAGATATTCTTTTTTCACCTTTAGGGTTCAATTTCATTGCGTTACCTGCCCAAATTCATCATGGATCGGAAGCTTGTGGTTAGTTTTTTCCTTTTCATTGTTTCTTCTATCAAGTAATTTGGTAAAGGGTTCGATTCGTTTTACTTATTTATTTCGTGAAATTTAGGTTCTCGGCATTCCATGGGACATCGATACAGAAGGGCTAAGAGACTACATGAGCAAATTTGGAGAGTTGGAGGATTGTATTGTCATGAAGGTTTGCCTTTTCCCCTATTCGTATGATGCATTCGTACTATCCGTTCTTTCTTATGGGTTTTTAAGAAAGCATGCCTTTGTCATGAATTCAGTGATTTTAAAAGTGTGAGGTGCACTGGAGCGTAATAACTTCAAAATAAAAAAGATTTGTGAACACTTTATATAATACATGAAAATGAAGATTGTTATGAATAAGAACAGAATGAAAATTTGAAGAATTAAAAGCTTTTATTAGAGATTGTGGTGGAAAAATGAAGGTGTTAAGAATGCTTTTATTTTCTTCCTAAAACATTATTAAAGAAATTAGGGCTTCAAGCATCGAGGTGCCACCTCGGCTATTGATGCTCGTGCCTCAAGCTGGCCTTATCAAGGGTGCCTAGCTGTTTTGAAGCAATACACCGAGTGTGGGCTTTTCTGTGTGCCATGGCATGCTTGATCTATTGGCGTTTAGGTTGTAGGAATGTATGTGCTGTTTATGTTTGGATGTGCAGAAATCCATATCTTGCCATCTCTTGTTCAGACCCAAGCACAAACCAAAAATATCTTACAATCTTCATTAGGTACTCCAAGTAAAAAGACAACTTCAGAAAGTCGGATCCAAATCTTTTGATGTTTGCACACAAAAACACACTGTATATGGCCTAGTGTGTCTCTTTTGGTACTCCAAGTAAAAAGACAACCCCAGAAAGTATGATCCAAATATTTTGATGCTTGGACACGAAAACACACAGTAGATGGCCTAATGTGTCTCTTTAGGTCGTTTATAAGAAATTTTGTACTATTCGGTAGGCCTTGTTCTCTTTGATTGAAGCCCTGTTTTGTATAGCTTGTTTGGATTTGAATTGTTCTCTTGTTGGGCTATGGTTTTAGACACCCCTCTTACATTCTTGTTTGTTTTGTCAACGAAAGTTGGGTTTCAATAATTTTTTCTAATATATTAATTTATCACCTTTGTTTTCCCTGGTGGATTGTACATATGAAGACAGTGGATGCTTGTTGTGGCTAATTTTGTATAGATACATTTTTATTTTCAAGTCCTTTTTTGGTAGTCATATGCTTTTTTTTTTTTTTTTTTTTCCCTTT